CTACGTATCCCATCATTGTGACAGATGTAGACCGATTGCCCAAATATTTGATCAATGCGGTTCTTGATAGGTTGCATGACGAACCTTATGCCTTCTCCCTCTTATTGTGAATTTGTTTAATCCATTGTTTCTCTTATATATCAATAAGGCTGACCCTAGTGGTCGAATTTCGCATACATAATCAGTTTACTTTTGCATGTATAATCTGTAAATTTATTTTAATATTTTAATATCGAAGTTATTTTTTATAAATAACCAAAATTTGGTATAATATAAAACCAAATGCCACACCTATATAGCTATGTGTTTTAAAACAAGTACTTAAAAATAGAATTTCTAATATCTTTATATATAGTAAAATATTATTAAAATTTTTTTATTATTTTTAACTTTTAAAATTTTATTTTTTAAAATTATTATTACAATAAGAATAAAACTTTTTAAACAAATTCTCATCTTATTTGTATTTTTCTAAATTTATTATATAATTACAGTCGTAACTCTATATAATCGCCTCCTCTATAATCGCATCATATAAAAACCTCTCTTTATACTCAAAGACAAATCACTATTAAACTTATGAAACGTTACCTCTATATAAGCACAAACTCTTCATAAGCTCGCTTTTTAAAAAGTTCTTAAAAAAAGTGCGATTATATAGGAGGTTGACTGTACTAATAGCTTTTTATTATTTATAGATAATATAAGTTTATTTTTTATAAGCTCCAATTATTAGTTACCTATTTCAATTTTATTTATTTATTTATTTATTTTTACTGAAAAGATACAATCGAGAGAAAAAAGTAATTAATAAATAGAATGCCTTTGCACCATATAATAATTAAAGTTGTTTCATTTTCTATAAATATGTGTTTACATACGTGTCTACGTATATTTTTTAATATTTTTATATCCAATTTAGAAACCTCATAATATGAAAGTAATCACACCAAAAATAAAACTGCATAAACCAATTTTCCTGATCGAAAGAAACCACAATTTAGATCCTAAAGAATTATGTAATCCATCTTTTTGTTGTTTGGCATTTTGACCTTCCGGAGGATCTTTCAATTCTATTGAAAATGGACCATAAATTCCACCCAAAGGCACACTTGAACCAAAGATGCCAGATCTAGACATCGTTTCTACTCGAACGTAAAAATCCGATGAGTTTGAGATCCTTGGATTATTTATGTATGGTACTTTCCTAATATTTAGTTGTTAAAAGAAGGGTAAATATATTAGTGTTAATATGTTTGACATATTCATTAGCAAAAGATGATAATAAAAATACATTTGTACCAGTCGTAGTTGTTAGTCATATTTGTTAAGTTCGAAGCAATTCTATCATAAAACATTAAATATGATTTTGAATTATGATTTTGAATTATTCGTCAAAAATGAACTATATCTTTATAACGATTTACTTACGGCATGGGACCCCAATCGTACATTATCTAAATGAAATAAAAATATATAAATTGTAATAAACGTTAGTTAGATTTTTACATGAATAAATGAATAAAATAATATACTAACCTTTCCATTCGGAGAATAATCACGTTTCTTTGCGTCAGGCACAAGTTTTAAAGTATTATATAATAAAACGGCAAAGTTTTCAACTATACGAGCTTCCATTTGGCATGGAGATTGATTCCACGATATTCGTTGTATAGTTTCTGGTTGTACTATTGTTTTGTTTGATGGCCCACTATTTAAATGCGTAGATTATATTGTTTTGATTATAATCGTTCATAAAATTTTTTTTCCTTAAAAAAATTAAAGAATTTGTGTACCTAACTTCAATGCATGCCTTTTCTTTCACCTGCCAAGGAACTTTTTTTAAATTCGTTGCATCTTTAGTTTTATCAGACTTTGGGGAGGTATTGGGACTTCCTGAAGATGGGGCTTTATTTCCAGATGCGGGTGACTTTGTCGTCTTTGGACTCATTGGTTGGGATGTCGCCGATGGAATTGTTGGTGACTTTAGATTTGGGCCAGGTTCTTCCGGAGAGGTTGGTAAAAGTGGAAATGGTGAACTTTCGGAATTTACGGATTTTGGAGAATTTGTAAAATCACCATCACCTGTTGGTGGTGACCCAAACGATGGAATTCCTTGTGGAATGGCTGTTTGAGATAAACATCGAGTTATAAGTGTTACTATTATTAGGAGCAAGAAAATTACGCGTAGATGCTTTTTCCTTTCGGATAAACACATTTTGAAGATTACGTTTCTTGTTGTAAATTGTGTAAATAATGATATATGAATCGTGTTGTAAAAATTATGATTGAAGAACGTACGTATAAATAAATTTATTAAGAATTTTTTCGCATTCCACTTTATGTCTTGACTTAAATCAGAATGAAATGATGCCAAGCTTTATTTTTAATTGATCATTTAAGAAATTTCCCTCATTCTAGTGATATAATCAATGTTTTTATTAATGTTTAAGAAAAAATCATGTCAGATTTTTATTTTTTTTAATCAAAATCAAATACAATAACTTTTTTGATATCTATTCTCAATTTATGTATATCAACGGTATTTTTATTTTTCTTTCGTAAATTTCATGAATAAGTCTTTTTTACAGCAATGGAAGTGGTCAAAATTATTAATACAGCAACATTTGTTAAAATTATTATGATACGGTTAGTATTACGTATCTTTCTTGTTTGTTTCTGTGAATCCCAGCAATCTAAAGATTACGTAAGTCTAGATTGTAATTTGCAAGTTCTGTAAGAGAGATACCTATGCTAGCTCAAGCAAACTCATTTTTAGGAGATTAGCAGAAGAAATAATGTTCCATGATAGATTCTCATAAATCTGTTTTTTATTGAGCAGCTCGACCATTTTAGGTTCACTTTTCTATAGATCCATAAATCAATAGTGTATGTGTTACATCCAAAGTTAACGTTAAGCACCCTCTACTTATCAGTTATTAATAAAAATGGTTATTTTCTGACGTTATCTCAATTAATACGATGAAATAGTAACAGGCTTTTGATATTTTTTATCGCCTAATACATTATGGAAACTATCTTTAATTGTTATTGATCACGCTAAATAAAAATAATCATCTGATATAATTCGCGAAGTTGAAAGTTCATTTTTTTATTTTATAAGATTTTAAAATACATCTATATACTTACAGAAAAAATAGTCTTAAAAGAACGAAGCTAGAGGCGTTCTCAAGCGCCTCAATAAATGGTTGAAATGCATCGGGGGTTAAATTTTTTGCACTAATTGGTGAATCGAACACACTTATCGTCAAGATACAGGACACGTTGTTTATTACGTTAAGAAAAATTTAATTGCAGAAGATTCAAGCGAGTTATCATTCCGGTCAACAAATTTGTTGCCTCAAACCTTGCTTGTTTGCACTGGCTTATCAAAACTAATAGAAAAACAGTCTCATGTTATAGACTTCCTTGGTGGACATTTTAAGATTACTCTTAAATAATTAAATAAGCGTGTTGATACTCCCCCATTATCTTTTTGTATCTAGCCACAGAAAATCAATAAAAGTTTTTAAGTATTGGGTGAGGTTTTTATTATGATCTATCGTAGCATTGAGCAAGAATGTGATACCTCAAATAATGTCACTATTTGTATTGTAAAATGTTAACAGCTAAGATCACGTCATAATTAATGATGGTTGACAAAACTCCTGGTGACCCTTGACGAATCAATTTGACCAAAAATTTAGTTGCGCACATTTATATGCGGAACCGCATATGCATTCAGATTTTGGTTGCGGAAATTTAAAATTTTGCTGCGGTCCGCAGACTCCGCAACCCAATTTCAGACACCGGCGCCACCCCTCGGTTCAGGGACACGGAATTTATGCGATAAGAATTTGTAAATTATGCGTGAAATATTCGATTTGTCTCTCATCGACGGGTGTTACAAGAGAAAAAACAAAGAACAAACAAAAAAGAAAAGCAAAGAAAAACAACTATGGGTTATCTGTCCCTTCCGCTTTCGTGCTATAGCTACTAACAGTGCAGAATTTGAGAGTATCGAAGAACGGCTATTTACTATGTATACTACTATGGGGCAACTTTGGCGAGCAAGGCAAAAAAATCTGGAAAAAACCCTGTTGCAACCAAAGGGAAACCTTGTGGCCGTTGTCCCGATAGGCCACTTCCTACCCCAAATTCAAAACTCAAAAAGTGACTGTCATCCCAACAGGCCATACTAAAAAATGTGACTGTCGTCCTGACAGGCCACCTAAAAAACTCAAAACGTGACTGTCATTCTGACAGGCCACCTTCAGCAAAAAGCTCTAAAGCTAAGCAACAGTTATCATCCCAATAGACCAAGCTTCAATGAACAATACTAGGGCCAGGTAGAGTGGGGCAAAAAACCAGACAAAGTTGGGTTAGCAGAAAAAACAAAAATTACCTTTTCTGAGAAACAACCTGTTTCTCTTAAATACTAATAATGATTACTAATCTCAAAAAAAAGACATCATTCTTTGGATCACACAATGCATCAGGCAATAATCACAGCAATAACTCATAATGACATTACATGAAAGATCAAACAATACATCAGATGATTGACCCATGACCAATTCGAGACAAAAGGCTGTTCCGATACTTTCATATCGGGCAGCTACATTTACTGATGATTAAAAAATAAAAGTGCAATTTAATATGATTTAAATGATGTTAACTGAGTATAAAAAAAAATTTTTATCTCATAAAAAAAGAAAACCAAAATTTGTCCCTCATCGAGAGGTGTTACACTGGCGATCATAAATAATGCATCAAAAAAAAAAAATTCGTTAGATCGAATTTTCTCGCGCAATTCCACGTGTA